GTATTGAAGGTCAACGATCGTGGTCGATGTCACTTTGGTTTTGGCGCGGAGTCTGGAGTGATTGAAAAGCTTTCCATCCATCCGGTACTCGATATAGATTCCAGGTAGAAAACGATCGCGAATGAGTGAATATGACTGCAAGAAAGATGGAGAAGAGGGTAGGGGCGATCACGTACCCTTGCTTGACACCGGTTCGAATGACGAAGGGTTCCGTCTCAGAGCCGTTGCATAGGACGGTGGCAGTCATCTGGGCGTGGAGAAGTCTGAGGATGGCGATGAATTTTCGAGGGCAGCCAAACTTAGCTATGACCTTACACAAGGCCTTGCTGTTGATGGAGTCAAAGGCATTAGTCAGGTCAATGAAGGCCATATACAGCTCTCGATGTTGTTCGCGGCATTTCTCCTGGATCAGTCGGGCCACGAAAATCATGTCCGCGGTACCTCGTGATGGTCTGAAGCTGCACTGTGATTCCAGGAGGACTTCTTCAGCAAGAGGGAGGAGTCGGTTTAGCAGAATTCGAGCAAGGATCTTCCCAGCGCTGGAGAGCAGGGCGATGTCACGATAATTTCCACAAACAGACTTTTCTCCCTTCTTGAAGATGGTGACGATTGTCGCATTCCTGAGGTCTGCAGGGATTTCCTCATCGTTCCAGATTCCGAGGAATAGCGCGTGAAGCTTGCGGGTCAATGGTTCTCCTCCGGCTTCGAGGATTTCGGCCGGGAAGCCATCAGGACCAGATGTTCTTTCTTCTTCATCTGTTTCAAGGCCCGTTGGACTTCTTCGATAGCTTCAGAGCTGCTGGGAGGTCGCTAGCAAATATCAGGAATAGGGTAGGACTTAGGCTATCGCCTTGAAGTACGCCCTGTGTTTGGGGGATTGCTTTGGAAGTTCTCAGACCATCGTCGACCCTTACATAGTTTTTCCTCAGGACGTCATGGATGAGGCCGAGGATGCGTCCCTTGATTCCCTTACGATCGAGCTTGTCTATTAGGATGCACCTGTCGATTGTGTCAAAGGCCTTCCGGAAATCGACGAAGACAGCATAGAGAGATCCTCTGGTCTTACTGAGCTGGTTAGCGATGGCGTCAGTGAGGAGTCTTATCGGCTGGATGGTTGAGTGGCCGCTCCTGAAACCATATTGTTCCGGAGGGAATTCGATGTGATGCACTATGCGTCGGTTGACAAAGAATACAGGGTGGCCCAAAAAAAGTTAGACCAACTTTGAAGGTTAATAATAACTTTTGACCAAATTCGCGTTTTTATCGTTTAAAATGGCAAAAAAAGTTCAATCTTCCCTCTTTTGAATGATCTATCGTTTTTTCATTCCGTTAGAAAGAACGGCTGCAGAGACCTTTTTAAAAAAGGTACCAAAAAAAGTCGCTGAATTGGAGCCCCACAAGGGAATGCACTCTGTCAGCAATTTATGGCAACCCCAGGCAGTTGCATAAAATTTGCCTACATTTCACCCTTGAAAAGAGCAAGTTAAAAGAGAATGAAGACTGAAGAGGGAGGGAAGTGGGTACTACTACCCCAGTAGTGACCATCACTTTTGTTCAGCTTTTTTAGTGCAATGCATCTGTCTGCTGGTACTCCACTTGCTTCATGACGTTTTTAAATGAATGATGAAGAAAAAGCTCGATTTCAGCAACTTTTTTTTGTACCTTTTTTGAAAATGCCACTGCAGCCGTTCTTTTTAACAGAATGAAACGAAAGATATGTCATTCGAAATAGAGAAGATTGAACTTTGTTTCGCCATTTCAAACAATAAAAAAGGCCGATTAGGTCCAATGTTATTAACGTTCAAAATTGGTCTAACATTTTTTGGGCCACCCTGCATTTGTAGCATAAAGGCAGACCCATCTGACTTTAATGCATGGCGCCCACCGGAGGAGAGGGGAAAATGATGGGAAGTCTTGCCAACAATTGAATTTTTTATCTCTTTTTCCGTCTCACCTCAGTCTATCTCGCGGAGAATAGAGCGACGTCAAGAAGGTGCAAGAAGGCTTTTGAAGATTTCTAAGCATTTTTCAAGGTTTTCAGACTCATTCCCACACGTCTCTCCCCGCATAATTCTCCTCCTACGCATTGCATTTCGCCTAATCCCCCTTCTTACAAAAGGATGAGAACATTTCTCGGCTGGCCTTCTCCGCGGGATCGGAGCCTCGTCCAATCCTGTCCTTATAGCAGAAAAGATTCATCGTTATTTTGTAAGCGTACTAGCGGCTTGCGGCTGCTACGCTGGCCCTCTAATGGGCGGAAATTTGGAAATGTTTACATATAGATATGAAGCAGTTCGGTTCAAACGAAACACTAAAAATTTTCAAACAAACCTCGAGAAGTTCGGAAGAGTTGCCGCTCAGCTAATTTTATTATCATCGTGACCACACCGCACAAGTAAATCACGAATGAAGGAAAGAATCATGAATGGAAAAGACCATTTCAAATTCGAAAAGTTTTAGGGCTTTGCCTATAGCCTTGTAGCCCGTTATTTAGCCCGTTAGGGGTGACAGCCACCACAACTTTCGGTCTCTCTCAATTGAAGTATTAGATTTTTACATTCAAATTACAACCCTTTTTCTAATTCAACCACTTTTTTTTTTAATCACCCTTCAGAACGCAAGTTGAAGGATTTTCTTATCCCGAAGGTACAGGTAAGAATGATCATCCGTTTCCTGAGTAGCAAAAACTTCAAGAACAAAAAAAAAGTCATGGAAACTGCTAAGATATTCATCTTCCGCACTGTACTAGCCTTTCACTTCTAATCTCAGCTGATTTCTTGAAATGGGATCACGTCCACAGCTCCGAACTCATGTTCTAGTTCGACTATTGCAGACCTAAAGACTAAAGCATGTCATCATAGATTACATGCTTATTTCAAATGTGTAAGATAAGAGGGAAAATCATGCGCAAGATAACGGGGAAAATCTATGCTATTTACGGCGTCCAAGTAAATGCACTCTTTCTGGCACGTTTCCCAGGTCGATTTCACCTCAATAAAATAGTGCTTATTTAGGACCTCATCGTGTGCTCATATGATGGTCACTCAGAGAGAAGATCTTTGTTTCCTAGATTTAATTAAAACTAGATTTGATTTAGAAAAAATCATCACCAAATTCTTTTCGCTGAATTTGATTCATCAGTGGGATAACAATTCCTTCGATTGTACCCGATTCCCCGTATCACAGAACCCAATATCTTTCAATTTAACCCAATTCATTTCCATTCCAATTCTGTTCCTCTTGGGACGTACAGCCTGGATTAGGAATAGGGGTTGTCAGGATCCTAATCTAGATTGGACGAGGATCAGTCCTCGTACCCTTCCTTTGGTACTCTCTTTCATAAAGGATATTCCTACACATTGTTACCTCTTGCCGATTGTTCTATCCTTTTAGGGGTCGTTCGCGTTTACGAAGAACTGTCATTGCAAAGTCATCTAATATATTCTCCAAATGGTTTCAAAATGAATGCACACATCTGAATTCTAATCATCCATTCTCTCGTTCCATTATTCACTTCTATTCTCGAGCAACCGTGAACTTCTGGGATCTCTCTTATATTGAAAAAAAAGAGCTATCAATTCATTGTTCTTTCATGCCTTATGGTTAATAAAGAAGGAGAAGAGAAGATATCTCCAGACTGAGATCTAGTGAATGCATATTAAGGGCACCTTTTTGCGTTGCCGATACCTAAGACCTCACTCCATTCTCCTGCGAGATGTAGTTTATGCTGCTGAGGACTGTTGAAAATCTCCATGTAGACATTTTCAGATTGAAAGAGCAAACGGGTTGATTACTTGCAGTGGAGCTGGATGACACGGAGCAGGAGCGGAAACCACCGCGGAAGAACATCATGGATTGGTTGTGGACGCGGAAAGCTCGGTTGAGTTACATCTTTTTCATCGCCATCCTCATCTGCGGGGGAGCTCCTTTCCTCCTCAACCTCTATCTTCCCATCACCAAGACCCATGAAAGGGCTCTCGGGACCTGCCTCCTCAATCCACCTTACAAGTAAACTTACCAGTTGGTTTCGAGATAGCTTAATGTACGAAACTCTCAATTTCGCGTCTGCGAGAGAAAAGAGACGATCGGTCGTTAGTCGCAGTAATTTACCGCTGGGTGGGTAGAGTTTCAAACAAATCCGGTGGACCCCTGAGAGTAGATCAATTGGCAAATAGCAATCTACCACCTTCATCTCGAAAGAATATCCTTCAACAGACTCTTGGAATGGCATAAATCTCTCGCACAATCGCCAATGAAGAAGTGCTGCAGGGAAACCTGTAGATCCGGCCACCTTGATATTACGGCCACTTATTAATTACGATTAGATGCGCTCAGTCTCAATCGTTCACTCCATACAATATCGTGTTACAATCACCAATTTTCACCTGTCACCTGTCTAACGCGGCCAGCCGCCAAGAACTTGTATACTCGCAATGCCGCCATTCTTTAAATCCTGCCAGCAGGGCTGGCCCTAGCTATTTCGGTGCCCTGTGCAAAGACATTCCCCCCCCCCCCCCCCCCCCCCCC